TTACAATAAGAATCATAGGCTGAATAAGAATGTAATTTTGCGCACAACTGTTCTAAAATGATACTGATTTTTGGTTGTCTGGAAAGATTAACGGATCTATTGATGGTATTTTTTCACGCCCTCATATTAGCCCATTTGTTTATTGGGTGGTTATGATGAACTAAAAATCGCACGACATGGCTGGTAAAATTCTGTAATCATTTTTAGCAATAATCAGTATATGTCATATTCGTCGTTAAGGTTAATGCGACAAACAGTTGACGGCCTACTGTTTACACCATAAAGCTTGATAAGTCAGTCTTACGCGGTATTTGTGAAAACTCATTTCAAGATCTGTAAATGTAAGCCCCTTTCACAATTGGCGCCTCACTCGTGCGATAATTTTTTTTTTCGAAAATATTTTTTCCGTCCTGTTGTCTTTGAGTCGCAAGCAATATATAAAATCGTACTTATTTGGGATGAAAGCTCGGGAGTTCTCGAGCTTATATTGGGGGGTGAAAAAATCGTACAACGTTGCAAAGGGGGCAAGACAGGTCTTCCAATAGTCTTAGGGTGGTACAACGGACTCGTACGACAGGACGCATCATCGTACGACATGAAAATACTCGTGCAACACTCGTTCGGGGTCTTACGAGTGCGTGCAAAGTCGCACAACACTCGTACTGCCTGTCGTGCAATTATTTTTCATCGCGTCAGTCGCTCAAAATATCGGAGCAGCACGTTTTTTTCCCTGCCGAGATGCGACCATTTTGTCGCATCTGGATCGTACAATAAGTGGTACAACGGCTACAACGAGTCGTACAACGGGAAAAATTTCGAGTCGCAAGCCGTTATAGTCTGTTTGGCACCAATTGTGAAAGGGGCTTTACAACGACACTACACATTATGATTGGCGAAGATAAGAGTAATGTTTATCGGACTGGTTATTCCTTTTAAAAAAACTGTAATTAAATGTAGAAACTGCGATGACCTATATGTTATTGTTAAAGTTTTTTGACCATATTCATCAAACATTTCGTGAGAGCGACAATGACTTTAGCAAGCACATGGTGGAATAACACAATTGGTGATATAGTAGCCTCATGGACAAATACCACAGCATTGTACTGTAAGGTACAAGAACTGCTTAGAGGTTTGATGAACAGTGGCGTAATCAGGGAATCATTGATGGCTTTGACATCTCCCATTGTCTTGGTGACATAGAAAGATAGTTCAGTACACATGTATTGGTATTGGTTATCACACATTGATCATTGTAGTCATGAAACATTCCGATATATGTGGTCACAACTGACGGACTGTTTAGGGTTCACTAAAGAAAACTGAAAATAGGTTTTGAAGCAGTGTCAAACAAGTATAGGAAATTAGAGTAGTAGGTTGACTTTCCGTGGACTAACCACCATCCTTCGAGAAGCCACAATTTATGTGGCTTAATCAACATGCTAAAAACAAATCAAAACAACGTGTTATACTGTATGCCTAGTCTATGTGGGGTTATCACATAGTATCTCTGCACCATGTTCCGATGAGCGGACGAGATATTGATTAAAAGGGTTAATATTGCCTAATTAATGTACAAATTAAGTCATTAATATTCCTGGCTTCCAACTAAAAACAAACCAGGTCTGCAAATTGTCCCAGAACATTCACGTAACAAGTTTCATTAAAATCTGTTAAATGAATCTTGGGAAAAAAAAGTGAAAAATTATCTTAAAATTCGCTATCAAATATGCAAATTAGGTCATTAATTAATGATAGCCCAACATTAATCACATCTGTGATAACGAAGTCGCGTATTCATTATTTGTTGCTGCAACTCGATTATAATAATGCATACATTTAAGAGTTTACTCTATGTAGTTTCGAGCAATTCCATGTGTTCGCGATGTGTTGAGAGTGAGTAAATGATTTTGACTGATAAACATACAGAGGGCGCTCGTTTATTTTGTTTTTGAACTGTTGAAATAATCGAATTGTAGGAACGTTGTCCCAAAGCCATTTTGTTATTTCATTTCAGTCAAATGGAAAACAGCAAAAGATCTGATGACGGGTAACTAATTATTTAAATTGAAATAATTATTTACTTGTTTTTTTATTGTTATTATTTCAAGGAATATAAGTTTTTAAGTTTTATCTACAGCGCCAGTATTACGGAAGAAACTAACCTGGAGCATGGGTTTTGTTTGGTGCATACTATCAACTATATAACAACTTTGCTCAATATGTGAAAGAAGATTATAAAACGATATTAATAATACGAATAATATCTTGCTCGTTTGCTTATTTCATTGATGATGACCCACCACTGATAACATCTTTAACTAACTGCACATGTCTGTAACGCATTGCCTTGGGCTTCTCAATAAACACGCAACGAGTGCCCAGGTGTACATGAATCAGGTCATGGTTTAATTAGCAGTGTGCTTGTATAAGAATATGAATGAGGGTGTTAGTGGTCTTAACTAAATGTGATTGTGTGAAATTTTACTACCGTAGACTGATGTGATTGACTGAGTGATGAATGAGACTGCTTTTGTGAAAATAGGTAGGTCAGTGTGCTGGGTAACTCTGCAGTGTGCAGTGGGCAATGAGGGAGAAGTTCAAAGCACCAGCACATATAAACTGTGGCCTGTGAGTGGAGAACCGTCTTAACCCACGGTGCACGGTAGGCAGTTTACTAAATGTGAACTTTTATTCTATTTCATTGGATATGATAATATATGTATTCTCATCCATAAACGTGTACTTTCCATTGGATAAATACAATAACAGCAATGACAATAATAATATTGGTTTGCAACATTATATAAAAAGTATGACTATCACATGAACTTCATTCATAATAGTTCTTACTGTTAAGAATCACTGTGCGATTTACTTTGCTTTATTTGACTTGTCTTAAATACAGGAGAACATATTTTCTCAATTGCATGCAAAGTGTAGTTTGAACACATTTATTGGTAGCGACTACTTATAGTTAATAGTTGCCTGTCATATTGCAGTGTCATTTCCAGCACTGGAGCTAAACTAAAGCTAGTCTACTCATCCCAAACAGCGCAGACACAAATTGAGAGACGCACAAATAAATGAAATGGCAAAGAAAAAGCTTCCTTCTCATTAATAGAGTAATTAATCTGACATTTATTCAGCTTTCTATTGAAATAACAGACTGGATGATTAACGCCATTTTGTTTTTGCATCAACTGCAGTCAACCGGTGTCAACCATCAACAAGTTTTATGAATGACAGGAGCCACCAACACTACGGAAGTCATAAACAGAAAATAAATTTTGTCAAACGAAGACTGACAATCAGGATTCCTTACAAATTTAGCTGCTTCTGTCAACTGAGTTATGCGGCTCCAGCAGAGAACTTAGAGCAACATTTTTATAATATCCCTCCATACCTAAGTGCTTATTGATCACTTGGAGCAGCATAATCTACAATGGTCTCAACCTTAGCTTGATTGGCACTCACTTGTCCATGATAAATTTCATATCCCTGTAACTTTCGCGTTAAAAAGTTCTCTCTTAAATTAAATCAAATGAATAGTTAAACTTGGGCAACGTTTGAAAAATCCATCTTGGCCAAATGTTCGGGATAGGAAAAAAGTCGCTTTGTGACGTCATTAACTCTCCCAAAATATTTACACAATCTAACAAAACTAAAAGGCGTCGGGACAAGTAAACAAGAAGAGCACCACTTTCAAGCATATACTCTTGTCTAATGTTTTAAAATTCTGTTTGACTAACTGTATTTGTGGAGGGGTTTTGTTTAATATGTCCTGTTACCTTGGCTACTATAACATCTATTTAAGCAACGGGGTATCCGAATATTAAGCCCTTTAAATCTTTTTTTTTTTACTTTCTGATAGCTAATGTTTCAGTTTAGTATCCAACTCAGAAAGCATCAGCCACCATGACCAACGCAACATCCTGTTTTTTTATTCATTTCCATATATTTTATTATTTTTGATATAATTTCAGCATTATATTAATCTGATACAGTCGCTCCGACTTTCTTCGATTTGGGGTGCTAATAATATAGTCTAAGTCATCAACCTTTCTGAGAACCGGATATGGACCGTGGAGCATGGCATCTAGAGCAGAACCAACAGCTGGCAATGAATCCAACAACTTTTCTCGAACCCTGAATAAATGTATCTTAGTTCGCTTATCGCTATGTAATTTTGTTGTGATATTCTGTTTTTCTGTAATAGTAAATAAATGTATTGTGGTAATGCTAAGTTAACCAGTGAGGCTTGCCCATCTAGTCGCGAGTGAGTCAGTTGCAGTTCACTTCCAGCGTAGTTCAGTGCAAATGTCGACGTGGCAGTTTGCACATATTTCAAGATAATATCTGACGAATACGTTATATAGGACTGATAGAAACAAGACAGCCTTCAGTGATTCTACTCTCTAAAACCAACATTATTTACCGACCTATAATTCACAAGGAAGTGTAATTTGCTGATCTACACAGATTTTGTAAAGCAGCATGACATTACAGTTATTTCCTTGTACTCTGCATTCTTTGAAGCTTCGTCGTTTGAAGCCATAGAACTGTTTCGTTGTCGACTTCACTCTGTTCGATTGAAATCTCGAATGGAATGTTGGACTCAGGTAGGGTAGACAATTTCGAGCTGGGTTATTAATATTATTGTAATGTATCTATCAGACCGATGGGTAATTTATATTACTCCAATAGACCTCGAGTGCCCTCAAACACTTCCTGTTTCAGAAGAATTGAAAGTGAGGTTGGTTCCCGCCTCAAGTGTCATGGCGTACCAAGCCACAAGAGGCCTGTAAAGAGTAACGGTTCTGATTGGTCCGTCACTTTCTCGTTGCTTGTTCTATATCCCTTAGCAGGGGTTTCCTTTTA